CAAAAATTGATGGATATTGGTTGGGAATTGATGTTACACCCACCATATAGCCCTGATCTCGCGCCATCGAATTACCACTTATTTCGATTCCTGGACAACTCCCTTCGTGGTAAAACTTTTAACGATGATGACACTGTAAAATCTCACTTAACTCAGTTTTTGGCCGAAAAGGATCAGACTTTCTACGAGCGTGGAATTTTCAAGTTGTCAGAGAGACGGCAAAAGGTCGTCGAACAAAATGGAAAATACATTACAGATTAAACTTCGTTCCAAGTAAAAGAAAATTTTTTATTTCATTGAACAAATCGGCAATTACTTAGTTGCCAACCCAATATTAGGACGAATGTATTTACGATTACAAATGCAAGTTACCGGTGTCATAATAATTTTATGAAATTTAATCTTTCGTCCACCTCGAAGCAACGTAACAGGCTTGTAAAAGATTAATTTAGATGTGTTTCATTTGTTTTTAGTTATAAAACTTACAGTTTCTTTTGTGACTGTACGCGAATGCACACTCGTTGTTATATTTTTGTTGTTTTCTAGCTGGAGCACAGTCTTGAAAATACAAATTACAAGTATGAATTTGTGGGAATTTCAGGTTGCTCGGGATTTTTCAAGAGGAGCATCCACGAGAATCGGAAATACGTCTGTAAGGAACAGGGCGCTTTGAAAGGGTGCTGCCCCATCAATAAGAAACTGAGGAACCAATGCCGAGCTTGTCGTCTTGCTATGTGTTTTAAAGCTAAAATGAACAGAGACGGTAAGTAACACCAATTACGACAATATTTCGATGTGATCGAACACGCTTCTTCTCTTAATACGCTGACTGCTTAACCCTTTCATGGGCACGATATGAATTTTCAAGAATATTTCAATTCAATAAGAATTTTCAATATTTCAATTCAATAAGAATTTCTAATATTTCAATTCAATAAGAATTTGTAAGGATATTTCAATTCAATAAGAATTTTCAATATTTCAATTCAATAAGAGAGAATTTCTAATATTTCAATTCAATAAGAATTTGTAAGGATATTTCAATTCAATAAGAATTTTCAATATTTCAATTCAATAAGAATTTCTAATATTTCAATTCAATAAGAATTTGTAAGGATATTTCAATTCAATAAGAATTTGTAAGGATATTTCAATTCAATAAGAATTTTCAATATTTCAGTTCAATAAGAATTTTCAATGTTTCAATTCAATAAGAATTTTTAAGAATATTTCAATTCAATAAGAATTTTCAATATTTCAGTTTAATAAGAATTTCCAATATTTCAATTCGATACGAATTTTAAATATTTCAATTCAATAAGAATTTTCATCATTTCAATTCTCGATAAGAATTTTCAATATTTCAATTCAATAAGAATTTTCAATCTTTCAATTCAATAAGAATTTCCAATATTTCAATTCAATAAGAATTTTCAATATTTCAGTTCAATAACAATTTCCAATATTTCAATTCGATAAGAATTTTCATCATTTCAATTCGATAAGAATTTTAAATATTTCTCTCAATTTGATAAGAATTTTCAATGTTTCAATTCAATAAGAATTTTCAAGAATATTTCAATTCAACAAACACTTTTCAATGGTGGAAATAACTGAGCTTGATGGTCCATACGCGCATTCAAAGCAGATGGAAAGCATAGTTCTCAGTGCCTATGAAAGGGTCAACGATGTCTCCTCGTCTTAACACTCTAACGAATTAAATAACGCTCTATCCTTGGCCAATTAATTGTTCGTTCTTTTGTGACTAATAGACTGCAAATATTCATGCAAACTTGGTATTTTAACGATTCTGTTTTGGATTCAAAACGAATCTACTGTCTGATATTTCTTACAAAGATTTTATTGTGTCGTATAATATGAAATGTCGGACACGAGTACGTGTTTGTGTGCGCGCGCGCGTGTGTGTAATTAAAATTTCCTAAAGATAGAAATCAAATTCTAGAAATTTGATCACCGAACGATCAAATTGAAGTCGCGTTTTCAACAAACTTCTATCGTGTTTCACCGATTGCGAGAATGTTTTACATGATCGTGATCTTGATTTTGATCTTGATCCGATCTAATTATCAGAAAATTCGACTGGTTCGGCCGGATCAGTTGCGACTCCGTTGCCGAAAGGAGTTCGAATAAGGTCACGTAACCGCAAATATACCGCGAAGAAAGTTACTTTAGCCACACTGGCCAGGCAAACCTTCCTAAGCAAACGGTCTCCAGAGGCCCAATGACATAGGCGATCCAGCTTGAGTAGTCTATTTGACGTTGGTTTTGCAGTTGATTTGATGAAAGTTGTGCCGGATGCGTTCTCCTGGAGCATAGCAGGCTACGCAATTGATCTAGTATTCGCTCAAAATGAAACGAAGCGTTATAAAAACAATAATTCGATGGGATTCGATTCCATCATATTTCATAGGGTTCTTGTTGCTATTCAAATTATTTTCTATTAAATGCTTAATTCCAATCGGGCAATTTATTACGATTTTATTACGATTTTATTACGATTTTAGTACGATTTTATTATGATTTTATTACGATCTTTTTATTTACGATTTTATTACGATCTCTTCGAGATGTGAAAGACTGCGTGTCTCTATCGACCGACTAATGTGGAGACTTCAGCAGGAGCATCGCGAAAGTGCAGACTTAATAAGAATACTGCCGAATCATGCTACGTTCCTCTTTTCGGTGATCTCTCACTTGATCGATACGTGCCACTTCCACATCATATTTTATGATACATCTGTATAGATAGGCTAAATCCGAGCGAGTCCGACCATTTTTTAAAAAAAGAATCGTATTGCTGCGGTTTTTCAGTATTCTATCGTATTAATAAAATTACAGCGATGTCTAAGTAATTTAACATATATATATATTTCAATTTGACGAAAAATATTGTCTATATATATAGACAATAAATTAATAATAATATAGACAATGTTT